CTGCCATTCCCAGGGAAGCCTGTGTAAAAATTACTAACAAAAAGTTAGCTTTGAAAAATTTTCATTTTGCAACAAAATAACTAATTTAGTAACTTTTTTTCTTTAAAAGCATTGACACAGTGAGGGGTGAACTTTACCCAGAGCCCACTGCTAGAATACCACCCAACAAGGGCTTGTTTTAAACTAATAACCCAACTGTAATATAAAAACTAACAATAACTCTGACCATAATAATAACTCAAACACAGATGTAAAATGTAACATTTTAAAAAGAAATTAAGAAAAATGAAAATTACAAATCATCAATGGTTTTTATTTATTTTTTTTATGATTGACCTACAGATAAAAAAAAGCGCAACGGAAATAAAGATTTTGAAGAACCGAACAACGGAAATACAGTATATGAAGTTCCTCAGGCAAGTGCAACACAATTTCCAAACTTTTCTAGTCAAACCGAGGAACATAATTTTACACTGTGTGTAGTTTTAAGAAATAAAGAAATACTTAAAAATAAATTTAAATATAACACTAACAAAAGAAATCTAAATAAGCATATAACACTGTCTTACATGCAGTCCATCTAAATTACCTTCTAAAACAGCTGCTGCCCCCAGTCTGCTACATGCTATATGTAGATGTCACTCTGTGCTGCTTTCTTGTCTTCTAATGTCTTGATGTAAACTGAAGAACTCCCAGATGAATAGATTCAAACATGTTGGTTGAGTTCTCTTTGAACGGCTGCTTTGGATATATACAGTAAAATAAAGCAATGATCGCAAGCATTTTATTTTCCTAACAATAATTTGATTCATTTATAGGACATCAATCCGGCCCAACTTCTAAATCAGAATCCTACACCAGATGCTTCAAGTTCTCCAACCTCTACCTACTGCCTGGTGCAATTTCACACTGGACCTGGACCAAGAGAATCTTCGACACGCGACCCCTCTTTGCCAGAGACTGTGTATGCTCAGGTTGACAGATCTGCCAAGACTAAATACAAATCCCCCAACAACCAACACAAGAGCTGAAAGCAACTGATAAGATATACACCGATCCGCCATAATATTATGACCACTGACGGGTGGATGTCAGTTGTGATGGCTGGACGACTGGGTCAGAGCATCTTCAAACCTGCAACTCTTGTGGGGTGTTCTCGGTCTTCAGTGGTCAGTACCTATCAAAAGTGGTCCAAGGAGGGAAAAGAGGTGAACCTTGGCTGCATGGGTTGAGTGTGACATTGATGTGTGACTCTGCACCTTGTGCTTTAAGTTGAAAATATTTTAACTTTTATACGTGTGTCTAAAAACTTCTACAATAAAGCTGCAGAGACAGGAGCACACGCTAGGTGCGCCTAAAACATGTTCAAGGTAGCTGTGGGTATAATACAGAATATTATACAAGGCCTGAGATGCTAAAGTGTTGCAATTTTTTTAGTGTTTCAGTACTTATTGATACTTCTTTATTTTTTAATGCAGTTCTGCTGAATAATATAACACATCTCTTCCTGCTTTACGATATATATTAGCTGAAACTACAAGGGACTGCTTCCACACACGTACTTCCCCCATTCCTTCTGACAGCACATACAGTAGTGAGACTATATGTCATGTTTTCTGTTTATTGTGCTTGTTATCAGGAGTTAATCAGGATAATTTTTTTGAGTCATCTGGATAGCTACGAGGGTTGAGATGAACTACATCAAGTCCAAGAATTGGCCCGTGTGAGATTCCATACAGCATGTTGACTATAGTCATCTAAAATATATTCTGTTTTTTTCCTTTTTCCTTTACTTGCCTCCATTTTGTTTTACATTTAGTGTATGTAATAAATAAATTAAAATAAATACTGTATATTTTTATGTGAATTATTTGTGCTGTTATGGTTATTAAAAGTTACACTTCCTTCAGCCACTGCCGCCACAAAATAAATCTTATAATAAATCTTGTTTGCTTCATCTAAAAATTGAAGGGGAATACATTTACATAAAAAGACTATATCCAAGGATGAGAATTGAGTTTCGGAGCAATGCTTTTGATCAAAAGAGTAAGTCGAAGTACTCTGCCCTAAAAATTAGATTTTTGAGCTTTAAAATAAATTATATAACTATACTGTGATAAAACCCATCAAAGCTGGTGTTAAAATTGACATTCTTATCAAATTTATAAAAATCTAATTCTGTGAGTTGAAAATGGCTCAACATGCCCTCTACTGTTTCATCACTACTACTTTATGTCATGACATTTCTATAAATCTAATGAGAGGAGGACAGACCACCTCCCCCAGCCTCCGCTTTTAGTGGGAGTCAGTGAAACCACCGTGCTTATTTTCAGGCATCATTTTACAGGAGTTTATGTGTTTATGCTGTTTTTGTTAACCCTCTAGTTAGTATTTTTCTAATTCAGAAATTCTTGCTAATCTTGTAGACATCCAGGCATTTCTTGCATACAAAAAATGTACCTACTATACAGTTGAAACACTACATACTTAATTTGCATGTGTGAAGAACTGTGCAATCTCTTCTGGTATGGTCCCCCTCCCCGTTGCAACACGTTCTCA